ATGCATGGATAAAAAATGTCAATAAAGAATAGTACTGTACATTTGTTTATTATAGAACGTTTTCAGTGAAAGGCGTAAAATATTGTAGCAGTCCTTGTAAACCTCTGTAATGTGCAATGCTCAAAGACAGTCTTCATACATAAGTTTTTTAAATCTCAATAAGAGCAAAAAATGTGATTTACAACATTGTTTCTTTGAGCGAGAACTCAAGTCATCGAAGAGTAGATTTGCTTCCATCATTTTCAGTAGAGGTCTCTCAGACACTTAAATATCTGTGAAGGAGCAACTGGAATGCATGACTGTATTACAGGTACAAGCACAATACCAATAAAAAACAAATTCAAGATTTGTTGATCATGTATTATTTTAGCAATGTGCTGTATTGAGCATTTTGGTGTTTTTTTATTCTATTGGGATCGAAGTTGAAGTTGTGGCCCAGGATGAAGGCGAGTTTGATTCTCATTGTTAAAGCTGATGGAATGGACTGTTGGAGAAGCAAAACCACATGGGTTTCTCAGCAGGAATGAACTGGACAAGCATTCAAGAAAGCTGAGGTGATGTCTGGGAAGAAAGGAAGTCTGTAGATCTGTGGTCGTCCTCATTAAGTGCAACAATGTGTAAATCAGCAGACGACTGGAAATCCACAAATGTCTTTCCATCATTTTCAAAGAGAGGTGCTCCAATCAGATCATGGTGCTTATAACTGAGCATACAATACAGTATATAGCATGATGTACAAAAGTAAAAAACAGAATGGCAATGTGGATTTAGGGCCAGTGGTGCTTGGACAGGCTTGGGACATTATTGCATTTGTTGCAAACCAAAATTAGTTATGAGGAAGAAAAATTAGAATAATTAATAAAAAAATCTAGTATTTCTTTAACACCTATTGTTTTTCAGAATCCTATGGGCTTACAGGCAAAAACAATCTCCCTTTTGCTTTGTGTTTTTTCTGGTTTTTATTTCCTCAGTGCAAAGGGCACTCTGAAATGATCTTTGTGGTTAAAGGTTTATCAGAAAGCAGTGGTGACGTCACAGAAGAGCAGCTGCCAGTGTGCTGCATACTTGACTATAACACAATGCTTTTAAAGACACATCAAAGCTGTTTGATAGAGGCATTTATTTGCCATATGTACATGTGCAATGGGATTCTATCAACACATGCACAGTACAGGAGACAACACAGTACAATAGATAACACCACACACTGTACTAGGAAGCACCAGACCGACAGGCAGGTCCCATCAAACAATGCTTATTGTGCCACAGTGCTTTCTCTATAGCTTAACAAGATCAGCAGCATCCTATTCCTTTCACACAGTCACACAGTTTATACAGTGTAACAGTTGGCTCAAGAGGGCATGTTAGTGAGCCGACAATGTGAGTCTATTGCATTTAATAAGTTTGCAAACAGTAAAAAAATAGGGATACAGAAGGGGGCGTCAGTGGAATTCAAATTTCCACTTACAGTACAGACAGTATATATTTATATTTGTGTTGGGTTGGTGAGATATGCTAAATGTTTGAAAATGTGCACTACCTTGTCTGTTTCAAAGAAGAATAGTGCCATTTGTTCTTATCTAGAATTGGCCGAATGGTGCTCACTCATTGAACATCTTCGTTCTGAAAATCAGTCATTGCTTTAACTTTAATTGATGCAGCATAGTAACTAAATGCCTATGCATTTATTAGTAATGTACAAAAATCTCAGAACATCTTACGTCTTTCTAAGGTTTTAAGTATTAAATACAGAAAATCTATCAATTGAAACATCGATTTAATTTAAACAAATGGCAGAATCTGGTTTTAGATTTTGGTCTTCTACACAATTTTACTGGGACTTTATAATATTTCATTCCATGGACTTTTTCTAATTGAGAATTTTAGTTTGATCTTTTTCCTTGCATGAATGAACTGGCTGAGCTCTGAATAGCTCTGAATAACCCCAGCGGACTGATTAAAAATGCAAATTGACATTTTGCTAAAAGATCTGCATACTATATTATTGTTAAGGGGAAAGGGATGGTTTGAATTGAATACTAATTATTCAATCAGTTCCTTCCCTTTTAAATCTTTATTTTTATTTTTCAGCTTTATGTGTTAAAAGATTTGTTCAAAAGATGGACGTGACTGCAATGGCTATTGCATCAATGTTGGTTCATAACAAGATAAAATCAGGATCTTTTATTTAAAAAAATATATGTACAGTTCCCAATTGTCCTTTTAAAATACACAACTTCTTTGGGCAAGATACAAAAGGAATCCGACCACCTGATTGTTTTAGTCAATGTATTAGCTTGGAAATATTTAGGTTACTGTAACCAACAGTTTATAAATGACTCATATTAACCACAAATGCTGCATTGAATTGCAGTAAGAAGACCACCAGCTAAAGGCTAAAAATACAGACTTACCCTTTCAAAAACAATAAACTTCTTCCTTACTAAATCCCATTACATTACTTCATTTGGGTGTGTAGATTATGAGATTCAATCAAAACATACAGAGCATTAAATGAGCTCAATATGGACAAATGTGCTTACAAGATACCACATTTGGTGTATATATAAACTAAAACTCAGCAAAAAGACAATAGTTTTGCAAAATCGCACATCATTTAAAAATGAAGCCAAAATATACAAAGAAGTAAACCAAACCAAAGAGAACAAGAAACCAAAATATCAATTTGTAACTCTTGGATTTACGTAGTATATAGATTCTGGAGCTACCCTTTCTTTTTACAGGCATTGTTGTGGATTGTGCTAAATTTAACCCACTTAACATTGACGCTTATAGTGTATTACATGAAAATGACAAATAAGAGCAGGTGAGGCAGCATGGTGGCACAGTGGGTAACATTGCTGCCTCACTGTTCTGGGCTCTTGGGTTCAGTTCCTGGGGTGCTATCTGCGTTGAGTTTGTACGTTCTCCCCATGTTCACGTCAGTTTCCTGCTGGTGCTCTGGATTGCTTCCCCAGTCCAAAAACACAGGATTTGAAAAACATGCTGGTACTGCAGGTGACTTGGCTCCTGTATAATTGGCCCTGGTGTTTGAGTGTGTGAGTGTCTGTGTCCACGTGTGCCATGTGGAAGGCCTGGCATCCTGTCCAGGGTGTCCCCTGCCTCATGCCCAGTACTCGCATGGATAGGTTTTAGGCCACTGTGACTCTGAAGTGGATAAGCACTTATTGAATGTGATGATGATAAGAAAAGGGCTACTCCTCTCAACCTTCTCTGTACTAGACTGAAGAGGTTTAACTTCCTTGTATGACATATGACGTATGACCAGGAATTAATTCTGTTGCTCTTCTCTCAGTTCATTCTAAGGCTCTAATATGTTTTCTGTGGTACTGTATGTGACCAAAAGTGAACACAATCTGCTAAAATGAGGTCTTATTAGCACATTGTAACGTTTAAGCTTAACTATCCTGGATTTAAACTCCACCCTTCTTGCTCTATACCCAAGCATGCTCTTTGCTTTTCATTACTTCCCCACATTGTCTTGATGAGTACATAAAAGTATGTAGACTTCTACATAAACTCCCATATCCTTTTCGTGAGTAACTTCCTGCAGCTCAGAAGTACCTACTGTATGCGATACGTGCAGTGTATGTTCCCACTACTGGTGTGAATAATTTTGCACTTAATGAATGGTGAATTTAATTTCTTGTAGTGTCCCAGGAATTTATCTATGCTTGTAATTCGCCTGGCACTGTTACTGTTTGTCACTCCTCCTATTTTGGGATCATCAGCAAATTTCACTAGTCTGCTAATTATACCAAAATCGAAATCCTTGTTATACAGTAGATCAGGAGGAACAGTGGACTTAAATGGACCCTTGGGGTACACCACTACTCACATCACTGTTTTCTGTACAGTTAGCAATCCATATATATACACATTACTGGATTCCCATTACTTGTAATTAAAGGATCAACATTGTATCATACGTGTTATCATACGATTTGTGAAGATCTAATTATATCATGCTGTAGTGTTATCTAAAGTTCTTTTTACGTGTTCAAAGTATTTTAGCAAGTTAGCAGAATATTGGCTTTCCCGTAAGAAACTGCACCCTTATTTTCTTGTAATAGCTTCCCCTAGACTCCCACAACCCTTTTGGTAAACAAGTTCTTCCTATTCTTGATTTTAAATGCACTTCTACATAGTTTCCACTTGTGCCCCTCTGGTTTGTGTTTCACTGTTTATCCTGAAGAATTCTGCTGGGTTGACTTTATCAATGCCTTTGAGGATATTGAATACCTGGATGAAATCCTCTTGCAGTCTTCTCTGTTAAAGGCTGTTAGGGTTCTGTTCCATCGGCTTGCCAGTACCTTTATCACAGAAATGTATCCAGTTGCTCTTTTCTGGATTACCTTTATAATGTGGTGACCAAAACTGTACACAGTATTTTAGATGAGGTCTTGCTAGTATATCGTACAATTGTAACATAAGCTTTAATTTCTAGAATAAATCAAACTTGGAATGCTTAATTCCTACATTGGAGATGCTGTACTGAACAACAATCCTGCTTTTAAAATTGACCAACTTTTGCATATAGTAAACTGTAGGTTTGTATGCTGTGCATAAAATTAGCATTGCCTGAGAAAGTTCTGAATCAGTTTATTTATATTGGTGTGCTCAGCTGATATGAACATGATTACATGGCACAGACATGCTTAGTTAATAGTTTAATGTTAATGATTTCTTTGAAATTTTGCTTGCCTTAATAATGCTGTAACATTAAACATTGGTATTTTCTGCCCTTTGTGAAATGATTCTTCCAGTTTTTAAAGGCAGATATCTACAGTATATTCTCCTTTGCTTGCTCTATTTTTATCTTTTTTGTTCAGAGAAGTCAAGTGCTGACTCTAAATAGCTCACAAGGTAATGAGGTATCTGGCAGCCAAGTGACTGGTTAATTTCTAGCCTGCATTCGTTTGAGGGTATCTGCTGGAGTCCATGAACGCGTACAAGCCTGATAGCTCAGCTGTCCGTGTGCCGAGAAAAGCCTGCCTCAAACTTCCCAGCTGCTAACAGGCATGACTAACTGAGAACACTGTTTAAATATAGCCCATGCAGTACTGCACAGCCCCAGCAACTCAGAACTGGTTCAGAGGCAGAACAAAAGAAGACTGGGAAAAACAAAACGTGATTTTCTGATGGCAAAAGAGCTCAGATACAACCCCTAAACAGCCAAACAATTCTTAAAACAGTTCCAAAAATCTGGGGAAAAAAAATCAAACAAAAACTTGGGTGGGAATTAATATAGTGTGATCTCCTCCTCCCTTTCAGTCTCTCTCTCTCTTTCTCTCACTCTCTCACTCTCATCCTCTGTGTGTGTGTGTCTTTCTCTTGGCTCAAACTTTGTGAGAAGAAAGTACATTCTTTATTTTCTGCTCTACAACATTTCCTGCATGACCTCAGTACCCAAAGGAAAAGAAGAAAAGAAATAAAGGCTCATCTTGGCTATGTTTTATATTGCTAAAGCAGTCAACTAAGGTAAAAAATCCTGCTCGAGAACTGGGCTGGTGCTGTGGGTCAACTCTTCTGTCTGTGCTTCAGGATTATCCCTTCTGTGAGACACTATCTGGGAACTGGGGATACTGTGATCAGGTAAGCGCATTGTTCCTGCTTCACAGCCATGTCTTCAGCTCTGCGTTTTCATATGCTTTTCCCAAATCCTTAGCAGGAGATTTTGAATTTCGCTTTAACTACGATATACAAAGCCCTTTTTATGTACCAAAGTGCTGATATTGCAGAGAGAGCAAAGGCGTGTAATAATAATATGTGATTTTATCCTGTCTGCTGTTTTCAGAGAACAATGGAAAATATTTCCTTCATATTGTGCTGTGTATTTTATACATATTGCACGACACTGCAATATGTTAAAATTGCAATATGTTTATGTTTTGGCTCTGATCTGCAATTTAAATGTGGTTCTTTAGTGTTGCAGATTAGCTATTACAGTATGTAAGGAAACACCTTGATGTTTAAACTTCTTATCTTGATAAACGTCTTGATTCATGATTTATGTGAAAGACCCTGGGTAAAGTTTACATACTGAATCATGAATGTAAAGTCCCACAGTGAATCAGCCTGCTAAGTATGTGTTTTCTGAGGAATGTCTGTTTCAAACAATCCAAATGACTACATTTATTACATTTCATAGAAAAGGGCATATTGCAACACAGTAATTGAACACATCTTTCAGGAGAAGAATGCATTTTTAAAGTCTTCAGGGTGAAAGTGCAAACAATAGAGATATAGAAGTGGCAGGAGTATGCCTACAGGAAAGTAAAACAAAGTAAAAAGCGAAATTCTTAATTAAATCAAAAGCTGTTTAAGCATCCTTGTCCTGGCACAAGGACAAATTTATACTAATGTTCTCTGAAGAGACACAACATAAATTTAATCATCACCAACACCTTTGACATGGTACTTTATTCCAGATCCCTTCTGCTTGTTTAAACTATGTATGAGTATGTATATGTATGTGGGCAGTACAGATAGTGTAAGATAATGTGATTATGTGATTCTTTTGAAGGTTTTCATATATTTAATACAATGAACCACACATTTTTACTAAACTAGTTTTTACTAATACTAGTTCTAGTATTTCTTAGTAAGAGACACCTCTGACCTATCAAGCTACCACATGTAAAACAGAGATTTAAGGTCTCACACATAGTCATCATGAAACGTAAGTTCGTCAGCTCTATTTTTAGGATGTGACACAGGAGAAGAAACCATGTGGCACATCTTGTTTGTTTACAAATTTTACAAAACATAGAATACAAACACTATCACAAATCCCTTTCAATGTCAGTGTTCATCTGGATAAGGAGATATGTAGTCAATGTTTGCTATAATATTGCTGTATTACTCAATAGACTCAGTCCAGTATGTGATCTCTTATCATAGCCTGAGGAACAGACATTTCACAATAATGTGTGTGTAAATGTCCAATAACACAGTATTTTTGTCCTCTAAATATTCGTAAACATTCTTTTAATTTTATCTGCTTTGGCAACACTGTAATTCATCGTTCATGCCAATGAATTCACTGTAATTCTTTGAATTGGAATGTGTAATTTTGCATAACAAACCCATGTTCTCTCAGCTATGCAAGAACTTGCACTCTATGCTTATAAACGTTTCTCAATCTGTATATACAAATATATATTGTAAACAGCGCTGTTGGAATTCTGAACATTGTGAAAGAAAAGTGGTGTATGCTACAGAACCAGAAATAAATATTTGCATAACACCACAAAAGATATAATCAGGAAAAGTCACAGGAAATTGTATATTTTGGATATATTGCAGAGGTATAATTAAGGATCTGTATCTGTTACATTATCAGTAGATACAGTTTGATTGTCATGTCATAAAACATTCATTTAATCAGATAAGTTAATGGAAGACAAGTTCTCATTGAGAATTACAACTTGGAGAGTACCAATTTATGCAGCAAGATGGTTTCACTAGAGCAATTGGCTTCTTCAGGAGTGCAACTGCAATATTCCACCTGCGAATTGAGCCCATAACCTTAGCACACTAGGTACTATTCTAGTCCCCCAGCCCTTAACTGGGAGAAACTATGTAACTACTGTACTAACTATGACAGTAGTGACTCTATAAAGCCTAAATGCATCCCTTTTCCAATGAGGCAAAAAAAAAGCATTTAACAGTGATCCTGACGTAAGAATATAAGATGTTTGCAAACGATAGGAGGACTTTCATCAGTTCTAGCTTGTTTGAGTTGCTTATAGCTGATGTGGATCTTTCTTGACAGAAGACTGGCCTGGTAGTCTTTTCCAGTCTTCTACAACCATTTGTATAAAAAAGCGCCTTGTGTTGTCAGTTTTAAATGCATATTCCGTTAGTTTCTCACGGTGTCCTCTGGTTCATGTTGTTGTTTCTGAATAACATTGTGATTAGGATTAGCATCATCATTAGAATGACTTTATCAAGGCCTTTGAGGATTTTGGATGCTTGAAAAGATCCTCTTGTAATATTCTCTGTTGAAGACTAAAAAGGTTCAGTTCTGTTAGCTTGTCAGTGTCATACTGTCGTACTTGTACAGTACATTCCTTTCAGACAAGGAATGTATCTGGTTGATCTTAACCAGATACACTCCAGAGCACCAGTATGATGTGTTAGAATGTACTGACCAAAATTGCACACACTGTTCTAAGAGGTCTTAGAATGGATTGTACAGTTTTCACATAAGATTACATAACTTGCATTGTACACTTTTAACTATATAGCTTGAGCATCATGTTTGCTTCCCTGCATTGTCTAGAGAGGAAATGTGTCAACATAGAGTAAATAGGCTTTTACATTAGTAACTACTTCAGTCTCATTGCTTTCCATCTCATATTTAATAGTTTATGTTTTTGCCATCTACCGTGAATACTATACCCTGCACATGTCTAAATTAAGGTATTTAAGTAGGGAGCTGCGTCAGCACGTATAAGCTGCAAAGGAAAAGGTAAAGGTTTATTTCATGCTGAAAGGTTAAGAAAAGACACAACCGTTCAGCTGTGGTGTCTTCTTCAGGATTCCTGAAGAAGGCTCCACAGCCGAAACTACATAGAAAATATATAGAAAAGATTTAAAGAAATGTCAAGACTGAGCAACCACCTGGGACCTTTAGTTAAGGACACCCGAAGAAGCGCCACAGTCAAAACATTGTCTATTTTCTTTTCCTTCCAGCATGGAATAAACCTTTACCTGTTCCCAAATTAAATTACTAAATGTCATCTCCCAAGAGGTTGCTCAGTCTTGACTTTTATTTTTTTAACTTTTTTTTTTGCTGTTTCTGTATATTTTCTAATTCTCCTTTTTTTGCTGTCATCTGATAAAGTGAGTAGTTTTTTTACTTTGTCAGAACAGTACTTTTTGAGGCACTGATACCAGTGATATTATACTACCAAATTACTGTATAACTATACAAGTTTTCAATTTAGTGAGTATTACTGCGGTCTTGATTAACTGTTGGTGTTTTGTTAATAGTATCTCTTATTTCCTTAAGAACAATTAGTAGAATTGTTCTGTCGCAACATTAGAATAATAACGGTTATTGTATGTAAAAACAAATGACACAGGTTTTGCTCTATTGCTCTGTTTTTGACTGTGTCCAGATGAAATTGCAAAGCTCTGTAAAACGTCCTTTTTATTTTTGGACATATGGTGTTGCTTTCTAGTTTTATATCTTTAATCTTTTAGTTCATCTTTTAGTCTGGATAAAGAAGTTTGAAAAGAACTGAACTTCTGGTGAAATTCTATACTTTTTAGCATATGTGCAGTACTTGAAAACTTTAACTGAGCCTGACACAACACTGTGTGAAAGTCTGAAGTACAGGTGTGAAATTCAGTGGTATATATATTTCATGTGTATTCCCTCAATACTGATTCAGTCTAATATGTAGCCCAACAGCTCAAAAATGCATTCAGAAATACTGTGCATTGTTTCATCTATTAAAAACTTGCAAAAGGTTGCAATATGTGAAATAAATTTTCTCTCTAAGGCTGAAAGAAAAAAGGCAGTCATGCACTTTCAGTCAGTCATGTTTTCTTCTAATGTACTATACAGCTTACAGTCCCAAGTTTTTGGTATTTGTGTTTATCTGCTGGCAGACAATGAGTGGTTAATGTATCACTATTGCATGTAGCTTGTTGTTTTTGTGAACACACATATCTAGATCAGAAACTGAAGGATAAGTTTATCATGTTAAATTTTTAATGCAAAACACCTATATTAACACAATACAGTCTCAGGAGTGCTTTATATATATTTTAGTTCTGTCTCTAATTTCTAACTGAAGATGTTGATTCTGCTTAGCAAGTTAACCGCCTTTAATTTTTCACATTATAAGGTGCATAATGACCTACGATTTGTCAAACACCTGAAAGGTGATGCTTAAACATAGACCAGAGGAGTATTTTAGCAAAAACATAAACTAGAAATGCAAATTGTGAAACTGCACTAGAAGAGATCACCTATTTGAATGAGTTTGGTGTACTGTATATACATTTAACCCCTTCTAGACAATGTGGGGAAACAACAGGAAAGGCAGATACATATTAGGATATGTAAACTAAATGGGCCTCTTCTTATTTATAACCATCGTTATGACCAATTTCCAAACTTTTTGTTAAGTTAGGTTTTTACAGGGTTCAGATCTAAAAGACGTTGTTAATAAATGTAACACATGAGGGGAGCCCATTTGGTAGTGAGCAGGTACTGTAATTGATCCAAGGATGTCATCCAGACACATCTTGAAAGAAACCAGAGTACTGTCTTCAGAAACATGGCTGGCTAGCTTGTCCACAATCCTACAGTATGTGTCAAGAAGTGCCTCCTGTTTTTTCCACATAGTTTCCTCTGGATTGAGTTTCACTGTTTATTCTAAAGACATCCACTGGGCTGACTTTAGAGGATATTGTATATATACACGGTGGGAGATTTTAGAAAGTAATTATGACCTGAATGTAGTAATGAGTCATTTAACAAGTAATTTATACAATTAATAAAAAAGAAAGCTTAAACTTCAAAGTTTGTATATTTAGATGATCATTGTCTCCACCAAGAGGTTATAATTACACAG